TCTCCTGCTCCAGCGGCCCGCCCAGCCTGAGCTCCCCCCCCTCGCGGGGCATCGCCTCCACGCCGCTGGCCATCTCCATGGCGCCCTTCGCGGCGATGGGGCGCGACGGGAAGATGCTGACGCGGTGCTCCCACGCGTCCTTGCCCTTGGCCGGCTCTGGCCACCTGCGTCCGCCACCTCTTGCCCGCTCGCGTCCAGTGGCCTCCGCCACCTGTGGTTCCTCCCGACTCGTTTGCCCGTGCGGGCGCCGCGCAGCGCGCTCGCTACTTCGCGTCGAGGGAAGCCATCTTGCTGTGCGGGCACGCGTTCATGATGCGGTCATCTCCACCGGGGGCAATGGCGAAGCCTGTCACAACTCCCAGCCGCTCGTTCTTCTTCGGACAGGCTCGTAGCTATCCTTCATCTGGACGTTCGGTACCACAGGGCCGCCCTTGTTCTCCCCGACCTCCGCCTCTCTGGCGTCCAAGCTGCGCGTGCCTGGCCTGGGCCAGTAGTCCTTATCGCCGTGCTGCTCGTCCCCGTGGCACCTGATGTACATGTAGCGGCATTTGCATAAGAGATCCGAAATTCTGTTGACGAGTGCACTCGCCGCCCATGGCCTTGGCGGCGCGCGGGGCGACAGAGCTGACGCTCTAGAGCTGTGGAATACCACCTTCGTAGGCCAAGACGCAAAACGATACAAAACCGTGCTGTTCATCCCACGAACGGCACGTAACCGGGTTCGCTACGACCAGGTGGCCATCCGCGAACTTGTGCGTGCCGTCGGCCTCCTGGACTATATTCGTTGGCCTCATCTAGGGTGTGTTCTCCGAGGTCACGCGTCCTCCCAGGACCTCTTGCCAGCCCTCCTCGCCAAATTGCGACCTCAGCGAGAAGGAGACTTTGCCAGCCTGGCGGCCCCCCCAGAAGGTTCCACCTGGCTCCCGTCCCGGAGGGTCGTACGGAGCGCTGCTCCGCGCTGCCGACCCTTGTCCACGGTTGTTTGCCTGGCGGCCTGGCTCCCGTCCTAAGGGTCATGCGGAGCCCTGCCCCGCATTCTCGGCCCTCATCCGCGGTCCGCCGCCTCGGCTCCTTCCGCCTTTCTCCTGCGAGGCGGCATGGCAGGCGCCAGGGAGGCTCAATGTCTCATTCCGCCGCGGCGCGGCGTCGAGGGCGCAGACCCAAGGGCCAACTTCAGCGCCATTCAGAAATGGCCGCCGAGCGCCTGAGCCCAAATGGCCATAGACGTCGGGCAAGAAGGGGGACACACGATATACAGCGTATTGGCACACGGGGGCTCATCCGAAGGTGGATGGCAGAAGGGGTGCGGCAAGAGGGGGGTGAGGATGAGGATGGCCAGAGTAATTCCAGAATGCGTCGACGATGCTGTATCAAAACGCTCCCGTCCCAAGCCCCTGATCATGTACCCCTATCAAATCCCACCAGCCCTTTAGGGCGTAGGTGGTCTAGAGCGTTTCCTCTGCCAACCCCCCTTCTTTCCCTTCGGGGAGGGGTTTACCCCTCCCCTTACCCCTCCCCACTGACCTGGACGGGGCGTTCCGCGACGCGTTGGGACGCCCAAGATGGCCCAAGACTGCTCCAAGAGCGAAAAGGCGAGAAAGCACAAAACATTGATTTTCCTTAGGTTTTGGAAGGATTTTGGCCTCTTGGGGGGGCCCAAGAGGCGATCCGAGGCACTCTAGAGGGGCGAGGCTAATTGAGGCTCCCCCCTTCTTTGATATATATTCCCAACATGGCCCCAAGAGCGCCCCGAAGGCTCCCAAGAGCGCCCCAAGAGCGCCCCAAGAGCGCCCCAAGAGGGCCCCAAGAGGCGCCCAAGATGCCTCCAAGAGGCTCCCAAGAGACTCCCAAGAGGCCCCAAGAGAATCCAATATGGCCCAAGACGGCTCCAAGAGCGAAAAGGCGAGAAAGCAAAAAACAATGATTTTCTGTAGGTTTTGGACGGGTTTTGGCTTCTTGGGGGGGGGCCCAAGAGGCGACTCGAGGCACTCTAGAGGGGCGGGGCTAATTAAAGCTCCACCCTTCTTTGATAGATCTCCTCCAAGATGGCGCCATGAGCACCCCGAAGGCACCCAAGAGCGCCCCAAGAGCGCCCCAAGAGCGCCCCAAGAGGCTCCAAGAGACGCCAAGAGGCGCCCAAGAGGCCTCCACAAGGCTCCCAAGAGACCCCCAAGAGGCCCAAGAGGCTCCAAAGACGGCTCCAAGAGCGAAAAGGCGAGAAAGCAAAAAACATTGATTTTCCTTAGGTTTTGGAAAGATTTTGGCCTCTTGGGGGGCCCAAGAAGCGATTCGAGGCACTTTAGAGGGGCAGCGCTAATTGGGGACCCCCCCTTCTTTGATAGATCTCCTCTAAGATGGCCCCAAGAGCGCCTCGAAGGCTCCCAAGAGCGCCCCAAGAGCGCCCCAAGAGGGCCCCAAGAGGCCCCAAGAGGCCCCCAAGAGGCCTCCAAGATGCCTCCAAGAAACCCCCAAGAGGCCACAAGAGGCTCCCCGAGATACGCAAGAGGCCCCCGGGACCGCCAAGAGGCCCCAAAGACGGCCCAAGAGGCCCCCAAGCTCGCCATTGTCCTCCTCCTCCTCCTCTTTTTCTTCCTCCTCCCTCCTCCCCCTCCCCCTCCTCCTCCTCCTCCTCCTCCTCCTTTTCCTTTTCCTCCTTCTCGTCCTCCTCGTCCTCGCAGTCCTCCATATCCTCCTCCTTATCCTCCTTCTCCTCCTCCGCTTGCTCCTCCTCGCGCTCCTCCTCCTACTCCTCCTCTTCCTCCTCCTACTCCGACGACGACGGCTCCTCCTACATCCTCCCCCTCTTGGGGGATATGGCGGCTCACCCCGCCCTTTGTTCTTCTGCATGCTCCCCCGCTCGCCCCAAGAGGGGCCCCAAGAGGCTCCAAGAAGCGCCCCAGAGGCTTCCAGGATGATCCCAAGAGACTCCCAAGATGCCAAAATCCATCCAAAACTCTGCAAATCAACGTTTTTGGCTTTCTCGCTTTTTCGCTTCCGATGGCCATCCGAGGCCTGAAGATGGCTCCAAGATGGCCCAAGAAGGCACCAAGAGAAGCCCAAGAGAGCTCCAAGACGGCCCCAAGAGCGCCCAGGAGCGCTCCAAGATTGCCCCAAGAGCGCCCCAAGAGCCCCAAGAAGGCCCCAAGAGGCCCCAAGAGGCCCCCAAGATGCCCCCAAGAGGCTCCCAAGAGATCCCCAAGAGGCCTAAATATGCTCCCAAGATGGCCCAAGACGGCTCCAAGAGCGAAAAGGCGAGAAAGCAAAAAACATTGATTTTCCTTAGGTTTTGGACGGAATTTGGCCTCTAGGAAGGCCCAAGAGGCGATTCGAGGCACTCTAGAGGGGCAACGCTAATAAGCAACCCCCCCTTCTTTGATAGATCTCCTCCAAGATGGCCCCAAGAGCGCCCCGAAAGCTCCCAAGAGCGCCCCAAGAGCGCCCCAAGAGGCCCCAAGAGGCCCCCAAGAGGCCTCCAAGAGGCCTCCAAGAGACTCCCAAAAGGCCACAAGAAGCTCCCCGAGATACGCAAGAGGCCTCCGGGACCGCCAAGAGGCCCCAAAGACGGCCCAAGAGGCCCCCAAGCTCGCCATTGTCCTCCTCCTCCTCCTCTTTTTCTCCCTCCTCCCTCCTCCCCCTCCCCCTCCTCCGCCTCCTCCTTCTCCTCCTCCTCCTCCTCCTTCTCGTCCTCCTCGTCCTCGCCCTCCTCCATCTCCTCCTCCTCATCTTCCTCCTCCTCCTCCTCCTCCTCCTCCTCCCCCTCCTCCTCCTGCTCCTCCTCCTGCTCCTCGTCTTCCTCCTCCTACTCCGACGACGACGACTCCTCCTACATCCTCCCCCTCTTGGGGCGTATGGCGGCTCAACCCGCTCTTTGTTCTTCTGCATGCTCCCCCGCTTCCCTCATCACCTCCACTCCCCTGGGGCTCATTTCTGGACGGGCTGGTGGGGATACGCGAAGCGTCTAGAATACTCCTGCTCTGTTCGTTGCTGGAAGTGCCGTGCCCCCCTCAAATAATGAACGCCCCGCCAGCCTGCCATTCAGCCCAGCTTTGAAAAGGAACTGCCCTGCATCTTCCTGGACATATGTAGTACCATACCATTCATAAGCGCCATCAGCGAGTATCTCATTTTGAAAAGAAGCCGCCCTTCACTCGCGGAACTGCTCACTTTTGTGCAACTATGGCAATATGTTGGAAGGAAGTCTCAAGCGAGAGCCCATGTTAAAAAGGAACCTCTCCTATCCATGCAATTGCTGTGCAAATTTACACGCCTGATCACATGTTTGAATGCTCAGGCGAAAATTCCATTTTGAAAAAGAACCGCCTCTCGTCCGTCTAACTGTCTACCAGTTGGGAATGTTTGAAATCAATGCGCGGCGCTACGGCGAGAACCACATGTCGACAACGACCACACTCCATCGGTGTAGGTGCTGTGAACTTTTGGGGCGGGTGTGTGCGCCGCGACAGCGAGAGCCACGTCGCGAAAACTACCATCCCTCAATCTTGCAGCTGCTGGAACCTGTGAAGACGAATGGGAATGACGCTCTGGCGAGAGCCACGTCTCGAAAACGATCTGCGCTCCATCCTTGTATCTGTTGAAAGCTTTTGCAAGGCATGCGGCACCAGGGCGAGAATCGCACTCTGAAAACAATTCGCGCTCCACCTTTGTAATTTTTGGTAGCTGTTAGTACGAATGTGCGCGGCGCTACTGCGCTAGCCACATGCTGAAAACGACTCGCCCTCCGTCCTGGCAGTTGCTGAAAGTGTCCGGCTTCAGGATCAGATGCGGTCAGGAGGTCTCAAGCGAAACGCTCCGCCCGCCCCGCCGACATGTTCCGTGTGGCGACGCAGAGCAGCTGCTTATCAGGAAGAAGCTGGGGCCGGCAAGCCAGAACTGCGAGAGCACCGCGCGAATGTCAGTGGCAGCCCCACTGCCGTGCGAGCTCACGCTCAGCTGGAGTTGGCCTCGCGCCGGCATCGCGGCCGTGCCGGGCGGCCGGCACGTCACTCGTCGTCCTCGAGGACAATGCACGATGGCGACGGACCTGCGGCGGCGGGCGGCAGGGTCCAGAGCTGCTGTTAGGCGGTTGTAGGCAGATCGTGCATGGGAGCGATCTTGCGCACCCGAAGTGCCGAAACGCATGGGGCGCACGCTGGAAAACGTACGTTCATTCTTTCTTTCTTTGTTTCTTTCTTTCTTTCTTTCTTTCTTTCTTTCTCTCTCTCTATATATATATATACCACTGCTCTCGGAAGCACGACCACCAGCATAGCCACTGCAACAGCATCACAAGCGCAATCAGAAGCTGGGCCAGACTTCGTGACCTCCGCATTCTTCCCGAAGCGCTTTTGAGCCCCTAGCGTGAAGGAGGGAGCTTCTCGAGACAGCCTGCGCAAGTAATTAGGTCCACAAGGGGAGTCCCCGATGCATGAGCCAGCCGCGCAGAGTGCCGGAGCGGCGCTGCACCCGCCGTGTGGGGCCACTCTTCTGAGATGGCCTCGGGAATGGCAGCGCACTCCCCGCGCCTTCCGAGGGCGGCGGGTCCCTCTTCGGAGCCCGGCCTCCTGACCGAGGCGACCTCCGGCCATCTTCGTGGCACTGCGAGTAACGAGGCTGGTCGCCGGAGTGGACCTCAACCAATAAGTTATTGCACTGTGGATGTGCAGACTGATATGATGCACTCTACGTGGTGCAAGCTACACGGTGTAAGGTATTTGGTGCAACCGATGTAGAGGGCAGAAAATCCAGCCCCATCATAAGCACCCCGACATGCGAAGCCGTTTAGTAGACGCACCACGAAATCTATCGAATAGGGCAGGGCTGTTAAATTGTCGGGGTCTGCTTGTTTTTCCATTGACGATATAGTGTAAGCTAAATTGTGTAACCCCGACAGACCCCCAAGCGCTATGGGCAGCAAGGAGGCGGCAACGGAAGGTGACGTGGCGAAACCTCGACGGACCCCCCGAGTGGGCAGCATCGGGCGGCGACTCGGCGAAATCTCGACGGACGCCCCGAGTGGGCGGCGACGAGGCGACAGTGGGCGGCGAAGCGGCGAAACTTCGACGGATCCCCGCAAGCGGGCGGCGACGAGGCGGCAACTGGCGACGAGGCGAACCCTCGACGCACCCCCCAAGTGAGCGGCAACGAGGCGGCAACGGGCGGCGACGCAGCGAAACCTCGACGGACCCCCCAAGTGGGCTCGGCGACGAGGCGGCAACGGGCGGCGACGCGGCGAAACCTCGACAGACCACCCCAAGTCGGCGGCGACGAGGCGGCAACGGGCGGCGACGCGGCGAAACCTTGACAGACCACCCAAGTGTGTGGCAGCGAGGCGGCAACGGGCGGCGACGCAGCAACGGGCGGCGACGCGGCGAAACCTAGACGGACCGCCCCCCCCAAGTGGGCGGCACCGAGGCGGCAACGAGATGGCAAACCTCGCAAGTGGGCGGCAGCGAGGCGGCAACGGGTGGCGACGCGGCGAGACCTCGACGGATCCCCCAAGTGAGCGGCAACGAGGCGGCCACGAGGCTGCGACGCGGCGAACCCTCGACGGACCCGCCAAGTGAGCGGCAACGAGGCGGCAACGGGCGGCGACGCGGCGAACCCTCGACAGACCCCCCAAGTGGGCGGTGACGAGGCGGCAACGCAGCGAAATCTCGGCGGGCTCCTCCAAGTGGGCGGCGACGAGGCGGCGACGCGGCGAAATCTCGGCGGGCAACGGGACAAGTGGGCGGCAGCGAGGCGGCGACGCGGCGAAACCTCGACGGACCCCTCCAAGTGGGCTGCAAGGCGGCAACGGGCGGGGACGCGGCGAAACAAACCTCGACGGGCCCATCCGATTTGTTAGGAATGCGATCAAGAACCCCTAGGTGCAAGCACTGTGTGGGAAAAACGCGTCGTCCCACCAAACCCGTTCAAGTTCGGCTCGGGGACCCCGCCAAGGTACTCCCTGACCAGTGCTTCGAGCTGCGGCGCCCAGCCGCGGCCACGAGGATCGCCCCCAAAGACCAAGAGGCTCAGAACGAGGATCCTCGGGGGCTCCAGCCAGCTCCCGGCACCAGGCCCTTCACTCGGGACGACGACCATGGCAACGGCGGTTCGCAGTCGTCGTCGCCGTCGCCGTCGCCGTCGCCGTCGCCGTCGCCGTCGCCGTCGCCGTCGCCGTCGTCGTCGTCGTCGTCGTCGTCGTCGTCGTCGTCGTCGTCGTCGTCGTCGTCGTCGATGGGATTGACTCGTCCGAGCTCGCGGCGGCTCGGCACGGTGGAGGATAGAGGAACGAGGAGGCATTTATGTGTTTGACTTTTACCCCCGAGCTGTTCCCCACGCCTCGGGTTGCGGGCGTGTGTTCAGAGCAGGGATGCAGTGGGATGGTATTGGCTACAGTAGGTAAGACATCTTGCTTTAAAGCATGCAGATGAACATTGTTCGGTCGATCTTGGACCTCACAACGTGCCCCCTGAACTCCAACAGGTCCCCGGGGACGCCGGGCAAGGAGACACTTCCATGGGCACCTGCTGGCAGGCCACTCTCTTATCTGATGCGCCCTCTACGGTCAGGAACTCTTGCCTACCGTTTCGCGGCGGCGGCCCCTGCGACTCGCAATGACCTGTAAGGCGATAGCGAGTCGCTCCGCAACGTGGGGCGGGAGGCTGGGAGAAGCTCGGAACGTTGATGCTTTTGTGTGCTGGGACGTGGTTAGCATCTCGCACCGAAGCGTGCTGGGCCAGAACCGGCGGCGCGACACGCCAAGCAAACGCCTTCGCCGTTCATCAAATTTCACAAGCCTGATGCCCCTCACCCGTGAAGACGACGTCTATTATCAGACGAGCCCTGTCATGCTCCGATTCGATCACTCAAATTTGCCCATCGCGCTCTCATCTTAAAGCTCCCGTGACGTCCTCTGAAGCAAGACAGCTTTCTGGCCCAGACCGGGACGCGTGGAAGATGATGATCTTCGTGGCTCTGGGGGTGACCTACATCCCTCTGCGAAATCAAGCGCAAGTTCTTTCCCGCGACGTGGCGGCGCTCCCCGACCCCGAATTTCAATGCTCGCGCCGAAGCTAGCGACTGCAACCTTTCTGCGGACCCCGCAGGCCGCGTTGCGCGTCGCTGAACGCTGAGATTGGGGGGCGAGAAAGTCGGACAACAACTTGCGGTTGATTTCGCGGAGGGTCCCAGAAGACTTCACCGTGCACAGGCCCTGGTGCCTCTCACACGCGACGACGACCAGCGGCCAGCGGCTGCGGCAGCGACGCCCGAGTCGGCTACACGCAAGAACGACCCCAAGCAAGAATGACCTTTGGTGCGCGGCTTCCCGGGGGGCGCGGGGAGGCCGAACCCGAGCGCACAAGCCGCTGCTACGGTAGAGCGAACTAATTACTGGACGCTCCCCACTTTTTCTCAAATTCAAAGTTTGCACGCGCGGAGGGGGCTGCGGTCGAAGTGCAACTCATCAGATCCACCGCCAACTTTTTGAATATTGGGGGGTAGGGGGAGGCGTTCACCGACGACTGTGGCATGAAATTTCGCTATTTTTCCGAGGCCTGTATCGCACCACCTTCAGCCATCTGGGGGGCCCAGCGTGTCCGCACCAAAGGCCACTCTGGCGTTAGGTCGGGCATGTCCTCCTACAGGCAGATTTGGGAGTAACAGTTAAACATAATCAAAAATTGGTCAAACATATTCACACATAGTCGAAAAATCGTCCCCAGACAATTTTTGTACTACTCTTGAATATTCCTCCCGTAGAGGGACATGTCCGACTTAGCTCCGGCGAAGGGCCACTGGGGGAACGGTGAAACAACAGGGCCGTCGAGATGCCCCGGCGGTGGTAGCAGTAGGTGCCTTCCCCTCTGCCTTCTGCATCCGGTGCCTTCCCTTCCTTGCCGCCCTCCTGTGTCTTGTGCAGCGGTTGCCTTACCTTCCTTGCCGCCCCTCTGCCATGGGCAGCGGGCACTCCTCCTCCTACCTCCCTGGCATCACGGGGGGATCGTTAATATCAAACCCAAGAACCGTCAGAACCGACGACGTGGACTCACCAGGAAAAAATGGGGAGGGGGGGGTCGCAAAACTGACGGAAATACCTCCCTCACCACCAAGAGAGGGTCACAAAAAACTGACGGCGCGGCCGCCCGACCCGTTAGTCCCCTTCGCCGAAAGTGAACCGACGACGGTGCGGCCAGAAAACCCCTACGTCGCTTTCTGTTGGAGTCGCGCTGGTGATTTCCCTGGCCTCCCCCCTGCCCTCTGGCGAGGGGCTACTCCTGCGCACGGCCGGCCGAAAAACTCGCGGCTTGGGGGCCTGCCTGCGCGGACCCACGCGGCGCACGCCGCGCGCAGGCCCGGACGCCCCTCGCCCGCGACCGCGACCGGCGGCTCTGGGCAAAAGGGGGGTCTTTGAATAATAATAATAATAGTAAAAATAATAATCACAATAATAATAATGATAATAATAAAACTACTACTAATAATAGTAATAATAATAGTAATACTAATAATCACAATAATAATATTAAATAATACTAATAATACGAATAAGAAAATAAAATAATAAACATACTAAGAAGAGTAATAATAAGAACTATAATATTAATAACAACATTCGAAGTACTATAACAATACGAACAATAAGAAGAAGCGATGCAATCGTTCACCCGCTTTATGGCTCATGGGGCGTGGCCGCCCTCACGGACCAGAGATTTGCTACGGTGCAGCGCAGGATGCCCGCGCCCGGCAAGACCCAGCACGAACGATTGCACGACGGCGCCAGCGACGACGGCGGCGGCGACGCCCGGCGGCGGCGGCGACGGCGACGGCCGAGGACCCGCGGCCGAGGCCCGGCCGCGCGGCCACGCCGCGCTCGCCGGGCGCGCCGCCGGGCTCCCGCCGCCTCCGTGGCGAGGACGATCGATCGCTCGGGCGATCGGGCGACCGGCGATCGACGACGACGGCGGCGACCTCGGCGACGGCGGCGACGACAACGACGACGACGACGACGACGAGCGACGAGCGACGATCGGCGACGACGGGCGACCGACGATCGGCGATCGGCGACCGACTGGCGATCGACGACGACGACGACGATAGAGGACCGACGACGACTTGCAGCGACGACGGGCGGTCGACGACGGCGATGACGACCCACGACAACGACGACGACGATCGAGGACCGATGACGACGACGGAGTACCGACGACGACAGCCGACGATCGACGATCGATGATGATCCAGGACCCGCGGCCGAGCCCAGCCGCGCGGCCACACCGCGCTCGCCGGGCGCGCCGCCGGGCTTCCGCCGCCTCCGTGGCGAGGAAGATCGATCGCTCGGGCGATCGGGCGACCGGCGATCGACGACGACGGCGGCGACCGCGGCGACGGCGGCGACGACGACGAGCGACGACGACGACGACGACGACGCCTGAGCCTCTCGCGGCGGAACCGCTCGCCGCACCTGGGGGCGAGCGGCTACGGCTGCGGCCGTGCGCGGGGCCTCTCGGCGGGCAGGCTGGGGCAAGGTAGGAGGAGGAGGAGGAGGAGGAGGAGGAAGAGGAGGAGGAGGAGGAGGCGGAGGAGGAGGAGGAGGAGGAGGAGAGGGAGGAGGGGGTACAGGGAGGAGACGTTTTTGCTCCATCCTCCTCTCCCTCCCCACTTGCTCCCTCTCCACCTCCTCTTCCCTGCCCTCCTCTATTGTCTTCCCCTCCGCTGCCTCCTCCTCGTCCTTCTCCTCCTCCTCCTTCTCCTCGTCCTGGCTCAAGTCCTGAGCACACCGCGGGAGGTGCAGGACTTTCGCACTGCCATCCAGGGAAGGCCCTGGGTGTTCGGGCTCAAGCCAGCGCTTTGCCCAGTGCCAGCCTGGTCCTCCCCAGGCAGCGGCACAGCTACGTCCCGCACTCGTGCCACCAGCTGGGCCCATTTCCTGCGCGTGCTGCTGCACAAGGGAGACAGGAGATGTCGATGGCCCAGAGGAAGTATGTCGTCTGCTCGAAGCGCGGCTGTAAAGGGTAGGCTTGATGCTCTGCTAATGCTCGCCATTGCATCCAGTGTGACAACCGTTTCAAGCAGCGTTCGGAATCAGTTTCGCATGCAGGTCGCCCAGCAGGGGGAGGTGGAGGAGCTCTGGATGTTCGGCCTGACGTTCACGAGCCACCGCCCAAGCCAGGCCGCTGGAGACATGGCTCCCGCGGGCCTGAGCCCCCCCCTGGCCTGGGCCGCGGAGGAGGTCGCAAGGTCACCTTCGCGGAGGATGACACCCCCAGTGAAGATCCAGTGGCCCTGGCCCAAGCGCATGTCACTTTCTGGAAGAAGTGGAAACCAGACGGAGAGGAGCACAAGGCGGCGCTCGGCAAGCTCAAGTATGCCAAGGCGCAGGCCCTGTCCGCCAAGAGCCTGGAGCAGCAGGCGCAGTCGCTGTCAGATCAGTTGCAGGTCGCGCGCCAGAAGCTCATGGCCCAGAAGAAGGAAGCAACGGAGCTTGTTCACACCATCGTCGAGGCGAGTGAACACCACGGCAAGCTGGTCGCGGAGATCGAGACCAACACCAAAGAAGTGCAGTCATTGGAGTCTCAGCTCAACCTGGCCACCCAGGCGGCAGCGTACGAGGCATCCAAAGATGAGGATTTACTCACCACTCTCCAAGGCATGCTGGCAGCGCGCATGCCTGAGGGTGGGGAGGCCCCACCAGAACTACGAGCTAAAGTATCGGAGCTGGCGCAGCTGTTTGACAACATGCAGCACCAGCACAACATGTTTCTGGAGTCCCAGGCGAAGGGTGCTAGCAAGGGCAAGGGGTCCCAGCCAGCACAGGAGCCTGACGGCTTCCCCGCAGTTGGCGAACGTGCAGATGAGCCAGAAGAACCCAAGCCCATTCCAGGTCAGCATGTCCCGACGCCGGTGGACGATAAGGAGCTGGAGGAGGCCCCGCCCGCCGAAGCCGTCGAAGCGGCCCCGATGGACGAGTCGCAGGGCCGCGTGCGTGCTGCTGCGGCTCTGGAGCAGGTCGCCAACGGCATGGCCAAGATCCAGGGCGACGGCGGCCCCGAGGCCAAGAAGGCTAAGGCGGCTGCAGCGGCCGCCGCGGCCGCGAGTGACGGCCCGTCGCCAGGGTAACCAGAAGTATAAGCTAGCCACCATCAACGGATCGTGCTGGCCTGCCGTTCGCAAGTTTTTTGCAATCTCAGCAGGCCAGCGCAGTCACCATCGTTTGTGCCCAGGGGTGTAAGTTAGCCGACGGCGATAGCATTGTACGTCAGATACAATGGTGCGCGTCTCAAGGGTGGCTGGCCTACATAACTCCTGCTGCTGTGAACCCCAACAATGAGCTGGTTTCGGGAGTTGCGATTTTGATTCGGGACGGTTTGGACCTTGGGGTCCAGCCTCTGCTGATTCCCTCGGGGTGTGAGCCCGCTCGTTTGTCTGGGGTGATCCTTGAGCTCCCAGGGATCCCACAATTCGCTTTGTGTTCTACGTATTTTCAAGCTGCTGGAGGTCTCTCTGAGACCAATTTTAACCTCTTGGCCACCATAGACCAACTTCAAGATGACTTAGCGCATCCAGTTTTGGTCGCGGGGGATTTCAATTTGGCCCCCACCAGGTTGTTCCAGGCCGAGTTTCTGTCCAGGTCCACTATGACAGTGCTTGCGCCCCCAACAGCCACCTATAGAACCAAGAAAACCAAGTCGACTCTCGACTATTTTGTCTCCAGCCAAGGGCTCGCGCCTTGGCTCCAGAATCCCCGTGCCCTGGCCTCCTACCCCCTCTCCCCTCATCGGCCCGTGCTGTTGGATATTGTTGTCCAGGATAACTTTAATATCCCCTCGCTGCATAGGCCCCAGAAGCTGCCCACTCGCATCCCAGTGGGCCCGCAGTTGCCAGAAGTGAGTTGGCACCAGACTGCCGCGATCGTGGAATATGCCTCGCAATTGATCGATGATGCCCAACGGCCTCTCACCGATCAGCAGTCGGCGTCGATCCTGGACCACGTGTACTTCACCCTGGCCCAGGACTTGGAAGCTACAGTCAGTAGAAGGACCAACACGCCTATTAAACCCAGTAAGTTCCCCCGGGCTCACCCCCCTCAGGTTCTCATGGTCCCCGCGGAGGCCAAAGCGGCTCGTGGCAGAGCCAAATGGGTGGCCTATGCGGGCCCGTTAAGATGGTTGTGTAATCGAGTTCAGGATTTTAGGCGCTGTATTCAGGACTGGAATTTGCTTGAGTTTCAGGGCGCCCTGGACAGCCTGGAGGATTGCCCCGAGTTGTTCTCCACCGCGTTGTCCCTCAAGGAGGGGCTTCAGGATATTCGAGTAGCCGCAGGCTTGCTTCTTGTTGATTTCCAGGCCGGCGTTCTGGACCAGACGCTGGCGCTGCAAGTTCTAGACGAGCTGCTAGAGCAGGTCACCAAGCTCCTGCACCAGGAGCAGGCGGCGGATAATGCCGCAGATGGGAGGGCTTGGAGGGAGTGGGTCCAGTCTAACATGAAAGGGGGATTGGGTTGGGCTCACAGATGGTCTAAACGGCTGGAGGCCTGGCGTCCGTCTTCTGTGCAATACAAGTCTCAGTGCACTGGCAGGCCCCAGCATATACTGCAGGTCGAAGCTGATCGTCTAGCAAAGATATGGCAAGTTCCCCCCGAGACCCCACCTCAGCTCGTTCCTGATGTCGATGATCGTGTCGCCCTGGGTCCGATTACACCCAAGAGGCTTCGGCAAGTTGCGCGTAGTTTTCATCGCGCCACAGCTTCGACCTGGGATTTCTTTCATCCGCGGCACTTCAGTAATGAGCAGGCGGAGATCGTCTGCCAATGTATCGATATGCTCGAGAAGGTTGGTCACATGCCGACTCAGCTCCAGGGGATTGTCTCAACTCTTATGATTAAACTGAAACAACATGATGCTCCAGCCAGTCAGCCCTCGTTCAGGTCTATTGGCATGCTACCAGCGCTCTATCGTGTTTGGGCCCACCTTAGGAGGTCGGCGGCCAGAGAGTGGGAAACCCACCATCGTCGGCCTTATCTTGCTCACCAGGCTGGCCACTCTATTGTTGAATTGGTACACAAACAATCCTTGGAATGCAAGTTCAACATCTCAGCCAAATATCAACAATACAGCGCCCAGGTCCTTTACGACCAATCTAACTATTATGAACATGTTGATCGGCCTTGTCTAGCGCATCGTGCTGTTGAGTCAGGTTTTCCATGTTGTTTACTTCGTATCATTCTATCCCAATGTGCCAGCGAACGTATCGTTTCCTTGCAAGATTGCGCGGTCAGCGTCGGTAAACCTTAGAGGGGCATTGCTGCTGGCTGCAGTTGGGCCACGTACCTAGTGCAGATGTATGTGCTCGCCCCCTTGGACATATGGACACAGGCCCATAGTCGCATTGGGCTCGCGATGTTCATTGATGATCTGCTGCTCCAGTGCCACGGCCGCAGTTTCAGCCTCATCGTTAGGAAATTGAACATAGCCGCCAGATCGATGGCGGATTGCATCATCCACGAGCTTAAATGCCAGATTGCTAGCAAGAAACCCCAGGCGCTGGCGTCTCACCAAGCCTTGCATGACCCGCTCAGGACTAAGCGAGAGCCTCTGGCAGGCCCGAACCCAGATCGTTCGGGATCCAACCTGGGAGTTGAAACTGGGGCCGGCCACCCCCAGAGAAGATGGAGAAAGTTTCGAAAACTTACGGGGCGTCTTGATAATATGCGTAAAAGACTTAACAGGGTCCGTATGCTGAAACGTGCTGGGGGTAACACTCACAAGCTGTATAAGACTGGCCTTGAAGCGGCCACCACTTTTGGAGTTGAGGTCACTGGCGTCAACGGCACTCAACTTGAATCAGCTAGGTCGCGGTTTCTGGCTGCCGCGGGCCCGAGATGCTCGACCCGCAGCCGCAGCTTGGCGTTGCTCATCCTCCAGGACGCCTTGTGGAAAGCTGCCCTCGGCCCCGCCCTTATGTGGCATCGTTTAGTTTGGGATGCGTCCGCCCGCCCGCACTTGGCCGTGGCTAGTCTCCAGCAGCTGCGGGCTTGGGCTGAGGCCATCCTCCCGAGAGTTTCTAAATCGTGGGGTTCCTCCAGGGGCCCTCTCAGTGCGGCGGTGCTTTCGCTGAAACGTATTGGTTGGAAGTTCCAGGGGCCGTTTACCTTTGTGACTGCCTCAGGTCTTGAGTACCCACTCCCAGGACAATCCCCCGCCTTCCTCCAGAAGCTCATGGGGCACGACTGGCGCGGCCAGCTCGCCTCCAAGGCGGCCGTCAAGCTCGGCCACGCGGGCGCTCAGTTAGATGTTGCTGCTGCTCGGACTGCTCTCTCGTCAGACCTCCCTGGACATCAGAAAGTCACCCTACTCGCCTTCCTCGCCCAAAGTATCTGGACCATGGAGAGAGCCAAAGCAGCAGGATCTGATGTTCCAGTCGGCTGCGAGTGCGGCCATTATTCGGATAACCTCTGCCACAGATTATTGCACTGCCCGAAGACAGAAGAACTCAGAGCCACTC